CATACTGTGTAGTATACTATGCACCTTACCTATCCCATCTGGACTAACACCAGAGGTATGTCATACTGTGTAGTATACCATGCACCTTACCTATCCCATTTGGACTAATGCTCTTGTTGGTCCTATCGATACTGAAAGACATCTATGTTTCAAGAGCGCTTCTTACTAAAGCACATTTGTTTTCTACGCAGCAACAGCAAATGATATTACAGTTTAGCAGGGAATCAAGAATGAATGCTGAATGGTCTAAAAAGTGAGTAAACTTTCTGGACATCTGACGAAGCAGGACATTTTGGAAATTTCGACGAAACATCTTCTTTATTGCTTTCTTTTATTATATCGCGTTAAGTGTTTTTTTTTYYCACACTGAGATAGTTAGTAGACTAATAGACCTCCTCGGCTCGGTTGCGCTCGGGTGTAATGTTAATCTTATTCTCAAGGAAATGACACTTGTTCTGAAATGGGAAAACATTACGCCCGAGCCGAGGAGATCTATAAGAGATTATTATACACTAACTACTAGAAACKTATTCACGGTCTGGGGAAAATCACTTTATTTAAACGAAATTTTTCCCAACTTTCACAATCAGTGAGGAGGAAATTCGAGTGGTAAACGTAAACAACCATTTTGCAACACTGAACAACTTACGACCTACGGTACTGACGTACCGTATAATGTCGAAAAATAGCTTTCTGTTGCTTTTATGCGAGTAATAAACGAAATGTTTCTAATTTCATTTGTTTTTGTTGTGTGTTTCAGGTGTCTTGCTGACAATGGTTGGGATTACCAAAAGTCTGCAGAGTGCTTTACCTCATTGAATGTAAGAAAAATACCATACGAATGCTATCATATAAATTTTTAAAGCATTTTTAGCGAAGCAGAAATACTAGTCAAAGGGTCAGAAATAAAAAAAGATTTCTTATTTAAATGAAAATCTTTTCATTACGCCGGCTTAGGCTGAATAGTGGCGGGACTGAGGATGCTCTGGGAAATCCCCCCTTGAGGGCGCGAAGATACTCCACCAGAGAGTGAGGATATAGTGTTACTTAAAAAAGAATTTTGACGAAACGATATAATAAGAATAAATAATACCAGACAAATCTTCCTTTCACGATCTACAATTGTAGATCTACAATTGTAATTGTGGCTATCAAAAATGGCGGGAAAGCTCCTTCAAAGATGCCATGAAAAATCCCCGCGAAGTTTGACGGTGAAACGGAGTAATAACGTATTACTCATTACTAACAAAGAAAAAAAAACCGGCTAAGATTCTCTTAAGGGGGTTAGGATAAAAGCTATTCCTTAATGTACTTGTTATCAGATTCAACTAGAGGCGGGAAAACCTATGCGGCGTCTGATAAGGCAATTGAAATCTTTCCATTTACCGCTGTGTTTGCCTCAAGCGCACACTCCACTGTCAATTTGAGGCTTGGGTGGTTTTAATGTTAGATTATAATTAACAATACGATTAAAGATTTGATCGGTTTTGCTTGTAGAATCAAGGACTAATTCCTCCTGGTGCTTTTATCAAGACATAGCCTGGTAGTATAAACACACTACAAGCCAGACTCCATGAGGCAAAGTGATAAAAAAAATACATGCAAGAATGGTGAACCTATCTTCAACTCTACGCTTCGTAAACTTATTCATCCAAGAATTATTTTAGTTGTTTTAATTATTTATTTTAAACCCAGTTGGCCACATTTTATGAAAAAAAACCTGATTATATTTGATTTGGTATTGAAAGACAAAGAATTTTAGGAAAGCTATCTAAATCTGATGAAATAAAAAGGGTTTAATAAAGCCTGATAAGTTTAAGAAAAAAAAGAACACAGGTTTGCTTGCCCTTTAAAACCCGCATTATCTTCAAGCATTGTGCTTGGATGAGATAGATTTTGATTGGTTCTCAGTGAGGGGGGGCCATCTTGCAGGCAGGATCAAATCCTGGCTGCATATCGCGGCACTTGGAATATAGTTTTGTGCAAGCTTTTCCTATTCCCTTGAAGAGAAGCGGCAAGAATGACCTCAGGCCAAAGCCGGATTAGTCTCTGGTATAAAGGATGAGGCGCAAGTGAACACATTTGGCGTTATGAGCTACAGTTATAGTGAATGATAATCGTTAAGATGGTTTTTGAGACGTTTGTATGTTATATCATAGTTAATATGATTATATATATATATACAACAATACTCAAATAAATAACTCTGATCTATTTCTTTTGTTGTTGCTGTCTATTCATAATAAAGGGACACTACCATGGGCACCTATTGTGGAATGGATGTGTCTTAGGGCGTTTTCATGGAGATAAGTTCTCTCTGGTACCACGGAGATCTTCATACCCTCAAGCCAACGAGACCGAGCTATATACAGTGTTTTCACGTGACGTCACAGGTGCCATGTTGGTTTACCAAAACAATAAATTTCCCATCCTCCGGGAATTGAACTCTATTTTAATGCAAATACTGTGCAGAAAGTTTCTATTGTTTGGTATACCAACAACATGGCTGCCTTCTCACGTGAGTGAAAACGCTCTATACCCTGTTGTCGGTGCATTCTTTCCTGTTCTCATGGATCATCCATGAGAATGCATATAGGGACCGGTCTATCATTAGAGAGGGGGATGGGCTGGTGCGAATGGGGAGGGGGCCATACCTTTTTGTTCAACCAAAAATGAGGGGTGCATGAAATTATGCAAACATTCTTGGGGGTTCATGCGTAATACAAAAATAACCGATAATATCGAATATCAAACTGGTAAAAGAAGGAAGAGAGAGATATCTAGTAGAGCTAGTATATAGTAGATGTCTAATAGAAGCAAATAGACATACTCTAGTAAGGTATCTAGTGAATGATATATATCCGATAGTATCTATTGATAACTATCGGATATTTGATATTCCGTCGATACTACGCCTAACTCCTACTTTTGCGACGTTGCATGCATTTGACTTTATCTTGCAACGTTGCAGGCGATGTCGCATCGTGTGTCCGCAAATGTCTGACTCCGTCTTCAAATGTCTCACTCTGGAGTGTGTTTTCAAATGTAAGAGTTTTCGATGTAAACGCTCAGCATTTTCGAATGTTTGAGGAATAAAAAAATAGTCCCAAATAAAAACTGGAACGCATAATTAGTTAATGAATCATGATAGAAATGGATAGTTTTTAAATGAAGCTAGTTTTATTTTTGGAACAGGGTTTCCAATTTTTCTTTTTGTTGTTTTCGAAAACTAGCCTTCCAATAAAAGGTGAATCGGAATCGTCATTTTTGAATTAAGTTATATCTATTAAAAGCGACACGTAGTCGCCAAGTAGCCGGGACACAGGGACGAATCATTCTATTTAATCTTATTTCCATAAGTATCTACTTAAAAAAACTTTAAAATTATACAATTTAGGATTACTAGTATTACACACTTGGCGTAATTTTCATCTAGGCCCTCAACAAACAACTCTACTCATATACGACAAGTCCGGGGATCAAACTCGGGTCTCACTAGAGAGGCGAGCGTTTTGACCGCTACGCCACACGTGCTTTCCTTTTAGAAAAGGGGCAAGTACTCTTTCGTACATTAATAGAAAATGAGCTCGAAGCTTAACGTAATATTTCATAGCTCGAATACTCAAATATCCATGGCCATCTCCATGAAACTAATATAACCGGCTGTCGCCAGCCGGCTTCGTCGGTTAACTAATGCACACTTATTTTCGGCTCTTCTAGATCTTTGATTAGTTTTATTCATATAGGTATAGGAAACTAGGTTAATCACTTCAGACACTAAGAGGAGGCAATGTCCGACGAAAAACCCGCTTACAAGAACAGAGTCAGTAGTAATCCCCAGTGTGGTAGCGAGTACCAGAGATCGGCGCGTACACGCGTACGCGAAAACTCCCGCCAGATCCACAGCAAGCCCAAAAATAGGGGGGGGGGGGGAGAAAATTTACGATCTTCTATAGTCAAACGTTCTTAGGGGTGTTACCCCCCTTTCCGTCCCCCTCACTGCGCCCCTGATAACGCGCTAAAAATGGTGTATTATGACTGTTCTATCTGCATGATATTTTTTTTCTGCAAATTTTTTTAGCTAACAAAATAATTTTTTTAATTAAATTTATAACATACTCAACAAAATTACTTGATTTTGATTGGACAAGAGGAGTACAATTAAATCCCAAATTGTATTTTGTAGAGTCCCAATTAAGTTGCTCAATTTTGATGCTCAATCTTCTCGTACAATTCGGAATTTATAGATACTCGTGATATTTTGAAAATTCTCAAATTGGACTCGCCTAAAACCTCGTCCAATTTTGAAAACTTTCAAAACATCACTCGTACCTATAAATTCTGAATTGTACTCTAGATCGTGCGCTTTCCTATAGTACAAAACGTAAAAACTTACAGATTAAAAGTTTTCATGTGCAGTGGTGCACAGTTATTACATTTTCCCATTTCCAATTTAGCACATTTTCCCATTCCCGTGTCAATCTCTTGAGAATAAGATTCTTTGTTTACAGAATGGACTAAAATTACGTAGTAAACAGGGAGTGAAGCTRTTTGTTATCAGAGGGAAAGAACATAAGTTTGTCATCTTCAGAGATTCAGGGGGGTGAAATAGACCTCTTTATCTTGGGCGTAATGTTTTGCCCATTTCAGACCACGTGTCATTCTCTTAAGTATCATTTCTTTGTTTGCACGCAAATAAAACACAGAATCCTATTTTCAAGGGAATGACACGTGGTCTGAAATGGGAAAATAAACGCCTAAGGTAAAGAGGTCTGTTCAAAATTTTCCATACATTGGTTCACTGGTCAAACACAAAGCGCTCAAGCGAGGCGGCAAGGTACTTTCAAAGGATTAGAGAGTTTTGGATTTACGCTCACGGCAAACGTGAAACGTCAGCTGACCAGTGAAAAATTCTTTTAAATTACTAAAAACGAATATCAAAAAAATCCAAGTAGTAGAAAAACGAAAAAATATTTGTGTGTGGTGAGAAAGTTTGCTAGAGCTAAAGTAAAATACAGGAAAACGATGAAAACGTGATCACGTTTGCAGTTTGCGGGGAGAAAAAAAGTCAATCTAAAACTCTATTACTCAAATTTGAACCTTCTTGCAACCTTGACTGAATGCTTTGTGTTTGACCAGTGAACCGATGTATGGAAAATGGTGAATTGAAAGTGTAGTGTAATTGAGCTGACGAGAACAGAACAGTCATAAGTCTGGTCTTGCATTGTTTATTTTATCGTTATTTCAACATTAAGTTCTACAACAGTCATGAGAACAACATTATAAACACAACAGAATTCTGGCTACATCCATGGAAATCATGTTTCTTAATAGTGATCACTAGGATCACAATAAAACAGGTATTACAGCACGTTTCATGTTTATGCCACCTCCTCAGCTTTGAGGCATCTGGGATTCTCACTTCTGTCTGATTCAGCCATTCCGAGGTTGAGAAAAAAACTGGGTGGACTTGGCATTGCAGTGGATTGTGGGACTGTTTTGGGGGACAAAATCGACATTATCTTGGATATATTCCCTTAGACAGTTTGACAATACACTGCATTGCCTACTTTCCCCCCTAAACTTCGGAATAGCTAATAAGTTTAAAAACAAGTTTTAAATTTGATGGATGGAATAAAAAATACATGAGAATGTATGGCATCTGGAGTGTATTTACTTAGGGTCACAGAACATGAAAAACACTGTATACCTTCCCTCCCTCCCTCATCAGAGGATCACAGAACCATTCTCTCTTGATTAATAATCAGAAATGTATTATTCCCGACTGACCATAACATATTTCTCATGGTCTCTAATCAAAAATATTGATATTCAATCGTTTCTGTTTTCCTCTGCCATATCATTTCAAAAAATAAATTTGAGGTGGATGAGTCCAGAACTACTTTGAGTTAACGTATGACTTTAGTATTTTTTTGTTGGCAGTAAAAGATACTCCCTTCCAGCGTGCTCTTACTTGTTATTTACTGGTAACATATCAAGTTTAGCAGGCATAACAAGAGTAACATGAACAGTATGGCTAGTTAATTTATGAAAACAAGAATTAGTCAGTTAGCACCAGTGCTGAATTTTCATCATGAAGTACAGCTGGTATTTTTGTACCCGGTCACAATTGTTGTCTAAGGGATGGAGCAGCGAGAAGAAAAGAAGGGAACCAGCCACATCCTAATTTTCTTCCACTCTCTAATAACCTAGCCATAACTATACTGCTTATGGGCTTTTTCTTAAAGCCAAGCTGAGACCATTCTAACAACTAGCTGGGTATATCATCCAGACTAATGCTCCTTGTCAATACACCTTTTCACAGTTCTGTTCAGTGACTACAAATAATAATTTTAAGTTAAGACTGGAGTTGCCGTGCATAGCAAAACTATAGCTTATCATGCGTGGCATCTACAACTTGGAACAATAATTTTTCATGGTCACTGAATGGAACTGTAAATAGGAGTATTATCTTTATATGAGCAATGATTTGTTAATCAATGATTTATCAACCAGGTTAAGGTGAGAAGATATCTGTATGACCTGCTCAAATTCTGGGATTACCACTCTTTTCATTGCTCAGGCTGATYGAAGAAACAGTGCGACAGGGAAATTGGAGAAATACACTTCCGCCAATCAAATAAATTGGTTACCTTTATGTTCTCTGATTGGCAGCAGTCTATTGTCCTATTTTTTCCTGTTGGGACTGTTGTCTCAATCAGCACGTAGCAGTGAAAAGGGTGGTAAGATTTTCGTTTGTTCAATAAAATATATTAAATACTTATTTATGACAAAAAGGACTTGATCTGTTACCAGTAAATGTAATAATATTTTATTTTATAAGTTATTTACTTGTTGCATAAAGATATACCCATCACAACACTTATTTCTAGTGCCTTATTAAATTAGGACTTAAAAATAGAATAACTTATGTGGCTTTTCCTTTTTTCGTTCAATTCAGTTTTTCTTTGTATGATATGAAGACTGTGAATGATCACTGGTGGACACACACACAGAGGTGGATCTAGGGTGTGGGTGTTCTGGGACAAGGGGGGGAAGCACACGGAAACGGAAAAGAATTGGAATCATTGAGAATCAGGAATCGCTACCCAGGAATCCTAAATCCCATCATGCAAATGGAAAGAAGTCATGAACCTTTGAAGTGACTCTGAGATGCTAAATGTTAGGAATTCCTGGGCAGGGTGAAGGTGAACACCCCATTACCCCTTCCTTAGATCCACCATGTGCACCATCAAAGCATGGCTTTGCAAGTCATTCATATTTAGTATGCCTGCATGTTGCCATTTCTTGGAACATGTGATTTTCTGTCATTCCTTGTTAGATTAACGAAAATATAAGACTCTGGTACTATATTAATATTAAGTAAATATTTCAAAATAATAAAATATAAATATATTAATCAACATTAATTCAAATTAATTTGTTCATTCGTGACAGCTATACAGTGATTCATGCCTACATTGATAGACAGCTTTGTGGGTATATGTAGGTACTTGGTAACTATTAAAGTGTAGCCTGAAGAAACACTGTGCGCATCAGACATTATACAGACTTCTTACCCAACAAATTGTGTAGCAATCCTATTATCTAGATTTAACTACCATTATACATTCATAAACCTCTATAGCATTATGAATACCCAAAAAGGAAGCTTTAGTATTAGTAAAGAATTAGACCCCTAAATTGCTGTTATAAGGTATATCTGTTTGATATAGTTGGTAGATTAATGGTAGTATAAAGTATATTTTTGGTGGGGTAAAATTATGATGGAAGTATGATGGCTAATGCAGCAATGGCCAGTCAATCGAAAACTTGGCCGGACTACATTAGAGCTCAATAGTTATAACAAGAAATCAGCAAGACACTGAATTTTGTGAATGACTATTACCCATCTCTGTGTGATAACATATTTGGACCTTCTTCTTTACTATTACCAGAGGCTATAGTGTACACCACTAGCAACAACAAACTGCTTAAATTGTACATTAATTTATTTATATTTTGTGTAATATATAATTTAACTTTGCCTTTGATTTCAGTAGCTTATAGATACCAATATGATCTGTTTGAAAAATATTACATGCTCTATCAATATTTTTGTATTTTTGATAATTTATCATGCTAAACCACTTAGGGAAAAGTAAATAAAGCTAAAAGAACCATAATTAACTCAATAATACAGTTGACCTAATCCACTGTTTATCCAATTCAAAATACGTTTTTCCCTTGAGTATCATTTCTTTGTCCCTCAGTAAGACTTGAGTACTTGATATGGATGGTACTCGAAATTGAAAAGTGCTCTCTCAAGGAAGCATAAGTCTCTACTATTTCGATAAAGTAGAACTCTGAACTTTAAATGAAATATATAATATTTTCAATAACACTAAACTTTAAATGCAATTTTGCAACACTTGGTGTTTTAAATTATATTTCCATGATTGTACTTTTAATCAATGTGGATTTAGTCAAACATTGGAATAAACTTTCTAGTCTGGCAGTATTTATATTGGGGGTTGTTTGTATGACAAACTTGAGTCAGAATCTTATCAGAGCACATGACCACATGACTGTGACACTAAGTTTTTAGCAAGATATTTATTTTTTCGTTTGAAATCAGAACCCCCTAACCCTCCTTATTTAACTGGTCCTTCTTATGCTTAGAATTACTTCACACACTCTGTCATACAATCAGCATATGGCTTAGGTTGGTGGACTGCGTCTGATAATGGATAATGATATAAATCAAAGCAGGTCTAATTAAGACATTCTTAAAAAAAATTTAAATGACGTCACAAGATCTATTGGAACAGGTCAAATAATTATTATAACTAAATTTCTGAGAACTTATATTTTGTAATTCAAAGAGACAATAAATGCTTATAATAATTATAATGATGGAGTATATGCTCCGACAAGACATGACTAGTGCCAGGCTATATAAATAATCTTTTGTACAATTCAATTTTAATATATTACTTCATTTTAATTCAATTATAACCTCTGGGATGTGAAAAGTATGGCTGATCAGGAGTAAAGCTAAAAGAGCTGGTTTACTGGTCCTTCAAAAGCTTCCAGATATCTCGTGGTGGTAGTGGTTGGGGGTTGGTGGGTGAACAATTATTAATCACCCTTCTAACCATGTTGAAAGTCACTGACAAGTAAGCTGGTATGAATTAAATTGTGTAGCATTCATCCTGCATGAATGTTAGCAATCTGATATAGTCATGGCCTTATTCATATGACACCAATTATTTGATCAAAATATTTCTTAAATACTTGATTTGGAATTGGATAAATAAAATAAATTCTTGATATTGTATCATTGAGTGAACCAAATTCAGTGTATTGCCATGCCTTCCTAACGACCCAGTCAATTTTATCAGCATCAGTCACTTATTTGAATGCAAGCTGGTGCAGTGCTACGATGTGATTGTTTGTGGCAGCATGCATAGCATTCATTATTTTTGTGCACTGAATGTCAATGATTGCATCTTTTTTCCATTTTCTCATTACTAATCTTACTATACCTTTCTGTTCAATAATTCTAGAGTGTTCTTAAACTGAAAATCATTTGCACCTTATTTAATCTTGAGATTTCAGTGTTCTTTCTCAAATTTGAATTTTCCGGTTTCTTTAGATCCAAATGAGACAATAAATCTCAAGAATATTTTCTCTTAACTTTTTCACACTTTTCTGTTCTACTAAATTCTAGCCACATTCCTTCACATGCATTTAAACACCAATAGGATGGTCTGTAATTTCGTAATAGACACTACACAGGCTAATAAACAACGTATAACATGTACAAAATCTAAATATAATGAGGTATTTGATGTCAAATCTATATTCTAGGAAATGCATGCATTTTTAAATTTATTTACATAATAAATATCCTGGTATTTACTGATGCATTTGGGTGCCTCTATGCTATCTGTTTAGACAGAATCCTTAATCTTGTTGAATAATAACATTACTATGTGTCAACTGAGACATGAAGCTATGTGCCTGTCTTAAGTTTAAAAACTATTTTCATATTAAAGCTAGATAATTTATTTGCCATTCTCAGCTTACATTATGTTACTTTAGCCTTAAGACAAGCACTCGGCCAAAAACCTCACATCACAGTGTGATTTAGTTTCAGATCCTATATTTGTGACCCATGAACGTTAAATATTTCAGTCCTAACTTAGTTTAACATAAGATTAATATCAAATGCTTTCTCTTTAAATATATTATTGGATCTTTTTCAGTTTTGTCAACAGATCAWCACTCTTATGTACATTTAGCATGGTGTATTAACATAAATTTGTGAATATATTAAACTCGCTCTTGATTTGTGAATTGAAATTATATATRTTAATTTTTGATTCAAGATAAACAAGCTTGAACAACAAGCTAATCATCTGATTACACATCACCATGCTAAATTTTATTCAGATTAAACCATTTCTTTCTTTTTAATTATTTTCATCTCAAACACAATACCTTGTCTTGCTACCTTCCAAGTTTTGGCTGTAGAGGATGGTAGGCTTATGATGAATTTGGACCAAAGATGGTTACACCTTAAGTGTTCTGAGCCAATTGGGATTGCTTAACTCAAAGAACTGTAGGCTTTTACCCAATAGTTGTCTGTGACAAATGCAACATTACAGGAAACTAGTGAAACTTCAGATAAACTTCAAATCTGATGGGGTAGAGATGGTGATGGTGGTGGTGTAGTGGTTGATTGGTTGGTGGTCAATAGTGGCAATGTTGAATAATTCACCTAAAATACAAGAAGTATACTCAGTTAATTATTACAAGTGCACACAAATATAGTGAAAATATTCATAAGGTTAATGTTAGGTTAGTGTTTTTCCCTTTTCCCATAGTCGCTTTAATAGTATTTTCCAATTATTATACATGTAGCCCTACCAAACTAGTCTCTTATATATATAGCCCCCTGCCCACTTGCTCTGCTGCTGTCCCTGCATGTGTGTGAATACAACAAAAGATCAAAAAGCTTAATTCATAAAATCATGCATGTTTTGTTCAGACGTAGACATATATGTAGAAGTATACTGATGATTCCCGTAGAAAACAAAAAGGCACAAAGGAATGGTACCTGTCATAAACAAATAAAATCCATAAAATACCAGTTTTTTTTCTAATGGCAAAAGAAATTGATGATGTTCTCTGAAGGATTAGCAATTCAAATCAAGAGATAAGATTTTTTTAGTCATTTTTAACTTGTTGCAAATGTTAACTTTAGTAATTATATATCTAAATTTTTGTTATATATTAAATACATATATATAGAGGATATTACATGGGCGCGAGGAAATACGAAATATATCTTAGAGTGTTGAAAAGATCTCTCACAAGTGAGCGCAGCGAATGAGTGAGAGATTTTCAACACGAGAAGTCGATAAATTTTGYATCTCCAAGTGCCCATGTAATATTCTGTTTATTATATAATTATCCATAAAATCAATTTAAAAAGCTTTTTATTATAAAAAGTTTTTATTTATAAACTAATAGCCTAAATACACATGGTGACGATATTTTCACATAACATGTTTTTTTCACATGTGAAAATATCAGTTTTTCGAAAAGGAGAAACATAGGTATTTTATGGATAGAAGATAATATAGGTAAGTTGTAGTGCTTGGGAACGAGGTTATTCCGGGCGAAAGCCCTTGGAATTAAATTCGGAAAAATTAATTTCCGACCTCGCTGGGATTCGAATCGATTCGATGCTGAAATTTGGTTTTTCGCTGCCATCAATCAAAAATATGAAAGGTATCGACTGATAAGGTTTGATTGATGGCAGCGAAAAACCAAATTTCAGCATGCAACTCGGAGACACAGAGTTCGCATGTTTATGAAAATTGCAATATTATTTATGAAAATCGCAGTAATTAAAAGCATTATGAACTGAATAAACCTCTTTAGAGAAGGAAATCTACTGTTATTAAGAAATATCATAGAAAACATAACAATTGGAAAATGCTTGGTTATAATAATAAATAYTACAAGTACATTAGACCTACTTGTATGCCTTTTTTAGCACAGAAGGAAACCAAGATTACGAATACATATATTTCACAATTCATAACTTACGATAGGATTAATCTTATGGTCATTTACAAGCRCCTAACTCTCATCCCACTGATGTGCCATTATATTAATAGTAAATACAGTATTAAACTTATTAATATCAAACCAAAATGATCCAAAAGCTGATAATTTAATCATCTCTATAGCTACAGTGAAACACTTGCAGAATGTGTCAGCATTTTATGCCTCCTTTTTTTCCTTACTTTAAAACCTAAGAACTAATAGCTTTAGCATTAAGATGAAATCTAAATCTAAATTCAACAAAATTAATATAAATGAAACGAGCTTCTGCTTGGTGCGCAATGATTCCAAAAATTATTCAAGTTCAAAATTATTGAATATTTTTTGGCCAAAAACTTTTAACAGCAAAATTTTATATGAACAAGTTAATAAATCCTCTAAAACAAGTAGTTTTTGCTGGGTTAAGATAAAAATAAAAATCAATCAATCATGATTGATTTGAAGTTATTCGTTATATCCATGAAGGGTTTTAATATCTATCTGATTCACTTAGTCTTAATTTTTCAAAAAATGAATTTTTTAAAAATTTTTCTAATTTTTAACTTGAATTTAAATAAGATTTTCCTATACACTGTAGCTACGATTTATTAAATTACAAGAGATTTTTCTTCAAATGGATAAATATTGACTAAATTATCACTGTTGTTTTTGGTTGTAATCATCTTTTTCTCGTTTTCTCAGATCTATGATTTTCAAACTAAACATTAAACTTAGTATTGTATTTTTTTCCCCTGGTAATAAGAACAACAAGACAAAAGGAATCCTTCGCATATCTGAGAGTTCTTGGTATCACTAGGGAATTAAATCTGGAATGCATTAATTATATTTTGTTCCGCCGGGTAAGGTCATAACACCAAGATGGCTTCATATCTATCATGTGATGTGAAATCAATATAAACAACTTTGGTTTTTTCTAGTGCTGTGAACCAAGATTTTATAAAAATCTTATCCATGGCCATGCTTTGAGACAAAAGAATCCTAATAAAATATTCTATCACAAGATCACAATTACAAGTACAAACAAGGCAATAAACCCACACAAACTCCCACTCATTTTGCTCTAAATGTAATTTTTCATCTCTTCAAAACAATTTAATTGAATTCAGCATAGAAATAAAGTATTCATTCAAAGACACTATCTTAAAAGGTGAACGCATTGAAACCTCAAAAAGAATTGTTTTAGGGTTTAAGCCTTTTTTATGAAAGACAGTGGGATTGAAGCTGAGGTAAATCAATACAGCCATCTTCCCCCACACACAAGTCAACACAGCTTCGTCAAACTCAGGGGAAGGAATCTGTGAAAAAGAATAACAACACTAAAATAATCCAAATTATCAATACTATTTTTCATTTCTAACACTGTTTCTTAAACCATTTTAGAAGATAAATAAAATTAATGCAATTTTTGCTACATTTTGCTGTTTTATTGTGGAAAATTTAGTTTATCTGTTTATTTATATTAAAGATTGACATTAACTGAATAAATGAATACCACTTTGAAGGGAAAAAATAGACTACATAGATCAAAATGAACAAGGATTCGAGATATTAATGAATACCTTTTTGGTAAATTTAATAGTTACAAATATATAACAAAAATCATACAAACATATAACATTTATCATGAATAATGTAAATTGTGAAAGATATTTAAAAAAAATGAAACATGATATGTAGACTGGCAACCAAAAGAACAGTATTCAATAATAATTTGACTGATCTTAAAAAAAGCTTCCATAATCTAGATTTTGTTAAATCTGTTGTTCATTGAGACAGATAACAATTGTTGAAGACATTACTTACTATTTTGGACCTTTGAAGTTTGGTCAATCAACTGTTAGAGCAGCCAACTCATCTTCTAGTTCCTTCTTTCTGTTCAGCTTTTTTAGTTGGTCGCAGTCCATTTTCACACCAGTATTCTTTTTAGCTTCAAGAATGTGGATTTCACTCAATTTCTTTCTCAGCTTGCGAATTACTTTATCTTTCTCACCTTTCTTGGCATGATTAATTTCACAGCGTTCACTAGGCTCTGGAGATAAATCAGAAGTGTGGCCATTGATGCTTGGTAGACTGGATTCTCCATCAGAGTCAGTAATTATGTGAACCACTTTTTCYAGGTTGACAGATCCCTTGCTTGAAGGGGAGTGCTTTGTTCTTCTGGAATTTCGGGGTGGTCGGTGATTCTCAGACTGATGCGAACTACCATTATATGTGCCATGTTCACCACCACCAATGTCAGAGTGTCCAGACGCTGAGCTATTGGAATCTGTATCAGTATGGCTATGAGCATCATGGTTGTTGGAATAGTAACTGTTGTAATGGCTATGGTAATTTCTGTTGCCATGGTTACCATTGTGATTGTGACTGTTATAGTGATTATGATTATGATAGCCATTATGCATGTGCCTGCTTTGTGAATGGTTATTGTGGTGGTAGTTCCTGCGTCGGTAAGGTGGACGGTACTGTGGGCGTGGTGAGTACATGTTGTACTCGTATCCAACTCCTGGCATTGGTTGTGGCATATACTGGGGTACAGGCCCATTGGGTGGTTGAAATGTATAATGTGTTGGGTATGGTGACTGGCCATTCATGTTACCTACTACTTGATGGTATCCATTAGGGAATGCTATATAGGCGTTATTGTACATGCCTTGATTATGGTATGGTTGGTTGGTTTGGTATGGTGGTGTAATATAAGAATAGTTGTGTTGCCAGTTTTGGTTCACGTAGGTTTGGCTGAGTGATTCGTCCTTGTCTTCCAGATTGTTTTGCTCATCCTTGCGTTGTTTAATAACTTTGAGGAATTCTTCTTTCTCTTCTTTGGAGGGCGCATATTTCTTGTAGTCAAAGTGCTCTTGGATGCAGTCGTTAGTGTTGTTTTCATTGGGAATACCATTTTCCGAAGAAGGGATGTTACTATTTGATTGTGATAATTGCTTTTCTATTGCTATATTGTCATCTTGTGGCTCTATTCCGGCCATGTGTGAAACCGCATTCACCGAGCGATCTTCGAAGTCACACTTTTCTTCGCCATTCGCGCCATTTTCGTGCGTTTCTTCCTTTTCGCCGTTCTCGGCCGTTTCGCCGTTCTCAAGTGCCATGACGGTGGTTTCCTCGTCATTCGAAACTGTATTGTAGTTTTTCAAACCGCCTACTTTTAACCCGTTTATACATCCGGTCTTATCCGTTCGAGGATCCGACTTGCCGTTCATGTGGGGTTTCGCTTCTTCGGCTTCATCGACGTCAACGCTTTCGCTTTTGTCTAAAGGTCTCTTCTCTTCGCTGTCTTTGACATCTTCGCTCCCAAACTCAGAYTTATCGGGGCAAACCATTTTGTGAAATTCAACTTCTTGGGCAAAAGATTCGTGTTCAGCATTGAAAGGGCATTTGATCTTTTCACTCTCATTCACCAAATAGTTCTTTCTACACTTGATTAAATGGTGATTCATTCGAGTCGCGGCCACACGGTGATTCTCGTCGTAAGGGCACACCAGAAGTCGGTCTAGATCATCCACATCATGGTCTTCGTCATACATTATATTTTTACCCCAAAAGATGGCTCGGTTAATATCCTCAGAATCGAAAATGGCCCGTGTACAATCAGCTGTTCCCTAACACAAAATCATTCAGACTTCTATCTTGTGACATGGTAATTCTTTATTTGTTCCATAAGACTACACATGCGCACTCTTATCCTCCCACCTGTTTTCAACTGGTCACCAGTTTCCCGGTGTCCTTATAGAATTTCCCCAAACCACCTCCGCTTACCTCTACCATCCAAATAATCCCTTCTATTGTACTCATTCTATCTTTAAGTTGGTCTTGTCTTAAAGTCTAGAGGTACTGACGCATTCTCGAATCAGGCGAAACTAGACACAATGGCTTCAGATTTGAGATCTGAAGTTTCGGGRGGATTATAGCTGTAGCCTAGGCCTGCTTGCTTGAATATTTCGCCAAATCTAGGTACCCGGAATATGAGTAAAAATAATATATTATYGTAACCGGAAGTAAAATAACTTCATCTCCTTAATCGTGCGACTATTTTTAACCTTTGTTGTGCCGAAAATACGAACATTTATAAAAATATTGAAAAGGAAAACAAGCAAAAAAATCACCGAAAATCTATTTGATAATTTTTTGAATTAATCATATATCTATCTAAGTCTTGGCGTTTGACTTTCTGAACTCTAAAAAATATTCTCCGATTAAAATTTGGACTCCTTCTTGGGAAAATATCATCCACTGAGTTTGACAGTGTTTTGAAAATACAAGGAAAATTTTTTCTTTTATTTTTGAAGTGTGAAAAGAATCAGCCTTTTCTAGTTCTGTCAATGAAAAAAATACTAAAAAATACTAACTCCGACACCAGTACGAGATTTTGCTGGTCCCAATCTGTTTTGTGACATAAGTCCCGACTATATATATTAAATTTCCGAATTACTGATTTGAAATTCAGTTTTCGTTTTGTTTCAGTTTATTCTTGAAAAATATTACAAGAAATAAAAAATCTAATCGACGAGGGTTGTCATCCGATACTTAATTACAATCAGCCTCTAAAGATGCAACATTATCCGAATCTTTGTCTTTAAAAAGACAAAAATGCCAGATTCGACTAGAGAGGATATCGACTACTAACTCATTATCAATAGATTTATGACATATCTCTCTTTTATTTCCCAAATTACGAAAGCGGAAGACGACATTACACGCGGTAGGGCCGATTAGGGCACTGCTTTCAGTTCCACTGCTTTTAAATACATTATGATGTCCATTATGATGCAACAGTTGCCTGGATACCACTGAGAGCTGCATCAATACTCTCACTCTAAAACGTCCGAACTCCCACCAATCATTCAAAAGAATGGCGGTAAAYATAGCATATATAGAGATATTTGATATAGTTGAGTGTGGAAAACAAACCGACTAAACCCAAATTTTAAAGACTACTTTTGGTTTGAATCCAATTTTCATTCTAAGGTACACATGCAGTATAATAACCAAAATGTTCTTCCTAAACTAGAACAAAAAAATTTCTTGGGTGGTCAATGGAAAGGTGTTCAACAATAGCCGAAAAATATTTGGACTAGAATTCGAATTTTAACAAGATGTTATGAAAAAGACTCCAAAATAACTCCAATCAAAGTAACATTTGTACGATTTTAACAGTTGAATGATAAATATGCAGTGAAGCACTTAGCAAATCAGATGACAATCACAGAAAGTCATCCAATCAGAATCCCCTTGGCTTACATTATGTTTTCGATATTATGATCATGACACTGTTTCCCCCATCCAAAATTAGTGTCGGACATTCCCATCCATTTACACTGTTTCCCGAGTAACCAACTAAAAACCAAAACGTTAAATTTTATCCAAATAAAAAATCATGCGAAAACTGAAACCTCCACTGGGACGGACGAGTTTTTTCTTCAACAACAAAAAAAGATTTATTGATTATGTTCCTATAGCCTAAACAAAGCTATTTATCCTTTAGGTTATTCATAAGTTATAGTATAGTAGTAATAAATTATGCGTTCGRCGTATATATAATGAAGTAGAGAGAATAAGAGAAAAATATCAAATACCCTTGGCAGGATTCGAACCCACATYTTCGGTATTCTAGTCCGATGTGTTAACCACTACACTACAAGTACCAACCACGGTGGTAACGCAGCCAGAATATGAAATGTWGGGTAATCGTGAGGATCCCAGAGCGATATTTTTTCTCTATAGATAAGTTGAACACCGTAAATATGTACGCAAAGGAATAGACATAGTATAGTAGTAATAAATTATGCGTTCGGTGTATATATGATGAAGTAGAGAGATATTCATAAGTTAGTTTTTAGTTCTAGTTTCTTAATTTATTTTTATTCATTTATTTTTTATTTATTTTTAACGAGGCAGGCGGGTGCTAATGTGAGAATATCGGATTGCCTGTGGTTTAGGTCAGTCGCTAGAGGCTGGTCCCCAGTAGAAAGATGGCGGCAGATTTGATGGRGAATTATTTTATAATCCACCGTGTTTTAATAGTTAATGCTCTAAAATATTATCTATGCTATGTGTATTAGTTTTGTCTATTTTTGCCAGTTGGTGAATATTGGTTTTCCATTGATTTCTTAGCGATCCTCATAGAATCTAAAGTACAAATGGGAGCCAGCCTTGCTGCCTCTCGCTATGTCAATCAGCTCAACAAGAAATCATTTCAAGAGAAGGTCGACATATGGGACCTGTATTGCATGACCTACTATTACAGAAACTGTGGAGGAAAAAATATTAAAATGAGACCACCAGACCCTCCACCTTTTAACAAGCAGTTAAAGGACGTGCATGAGTGTATATCTCAACAGGTATATTTTGCACCTATCAACGTCAAAAGCGCCAAGGAGGGGGGGGGTTGGGGGGCCACCCTCGGGAAATTGACATTATTCAATGCCCTAAAAAATACAATAAACATATGTACTCTTAAATGAAATTTGACTTTCATTAGCTGTCCAGGGGTGGAGAATTAAAAAATTTCGATTCCAAAATGTCAAATTCCCCTGGGGTGTGCCGACTCTTGGACTCAACATTATAAGCTTATAAATGTTATAAGAATGAAGTAAGATTTGGTGGGTTGACACTAGCGATGTTAAATACGTCTTAAGTATACTTATGGTTGTACTTTTGGTGTGAACGGTATCATGGTCTGCTCAAATAATTATACTTAGTAGTTATGGTAATGCTGCTTCTTCAAACAAGCCGAAGTAAGTTTCTAATTAGACTATGAACTATATWAGCTTTCCTAAATGCGGACACTGGATTTAATGCTGATGGCATGTAAATTTAATGCTATAGAAAGGGCATTTGATGCACTGGGAACAGAAAAGAACTAAAAAATGGAAATGGATTCATTTTTCTCTTTGAAATAATTGAAAATAAAAAAAACACAGTTGCAGGGGAAAACCCAGGGGTGGTAAAAGGGGTGATGAATAATCCTCCCATCCATTTTTTACTCATATTTCTCAGTATTWTCCTTAGTAAGCTACCACCTTTTCCTTGCATTCTTGGTAAAACCTTTGTAATAGTCACCCCTCTTCTAAATCTTCCCATYACCCCCTTCCTGGATCGCCACTGCAGTTATGTTCTTTTAAAAATGAAGTTTCAAAACATATATGTATATATTTGATTGGAGAATTCCTATTTGCTTACCAGTTAAAAGATATCCTCAGACGATGGCACAATAACATATCAGAGCTACAAGAAGGACAGCAACAACTARCTGCTCATTCAGACTTTTCTTTATCAGTCAAGGATTCTTTAATTGACCATCCTGATGCTGGCAAAGGTACATTAAATGCCTAGCTAGGAAAATTTGTATTGTTGTACTTCAATACAATAATCAATGAAATAAGAGGTAATGMATTTTTGATGTGGTACTCAAATGACTTATGCTTATCATGTACCTTAGGTGTATTCATGTCTGGGTCAGTTGTTCCTGGAACTGTYGTTATGTTTCATCCTGGACTTGTGGTGAGTATTATAGTTTCATATWTACATAGATATAATACATGTCTGGGAAAGCTTGCATGAAAATTCATTGATGTATATATGCTTTCATGAAAGGGATTGGGTTAATGGTCTATGAAAGTGTTTAAATGGTATCTAAAGGTGTTACCATGGTCTATGATTTTGTTGCCATGGTATATGAGGTGTTTACATGATCTATGAAGGTGCTGCCATGGTCTTTAAAGGTGTTACCATGGTCTGTTAAGATGTTGCCATTGTATATGAAGGTGTTGCCATGGTCTATGAAGGTGTTGCCATGGTGTATATGAAGGTGTTGCCATGGTCTATGAAGGTGTTGCCATGGTCTATGAAGGTNGTGTTGCCATGGTCCATGAAGGTGTTGCAATGGTCTATGAAGGTGTTTCCATGGTGTATATGAAGGTGTTGCCATGGTGTATATGAAGGTGTTGCCATGGACTATGAAGGTGTTGCCATGGTCTATAAAGGTGTTACCATGGTCCATGGAGGTGTTGCCATGGTGTATATGAAGGTGTTTACATGATCTATGAAGGTGCTGCCATGGTSTTTAAAGGTGTTACCATGGTCTATTAAGATGTTGCCATTGTATATGAAGGTGTTGCCATGGTCTATGAAGGTGTTGCCATGGTGTATATGAAAGTGTTGCCATGGTGTATATAAAGGTGTTGCCATGGACTATGAAGGTGTTGCCATGGTCCATGAAGGTGTTGCAATGGTCTATGAAGGTGTTTCCATGGTGTATATGAAGGTGTTTACATGATCTATGAAGGTGCTGCCATGGTCTTTAAAGGTGTTACTATGGTCTATTAAGATGTTGCCATTGTATGTGAAGGTGTTTACATGATCTATGAAGGTGTTGCCATGGTCTATGAAGGTGTTGCCATGGTCCATGAAGATGTTGCCATGGTCCATGAAGGTGTTGCCATGATCTATGAAGGTGTTGCAATGGTCTATTAAGGTGTTGCCATGATCTATGAAGGTGTTGCAATGGTCTATGAAGGTGTTGCCATGGTGTATATGAAGGTGTTGCCATGGTCTATGAAGGTGTTGCCATGGTCTATAAAGGTGTTACCATGGTCCATGGAGGTGTTGCCATGGTCTATGAAGGTGTTGTCATGGTCTATAAAGGTGCTGCCATGGTCTATAAAGGTGTTGCCATGGTCTATGAAGATGTTGCCATGGTGTATATGAAGGTTTTGCCATTGTACATGAAGGTGTTGCCACTGTATATGAAGGTGTTGCCATTGTATATGAAGGTGTTGCCATGGTCTATGAAGGTGTTGCCATGGTATATCAAGGTGTTGCCATTGGCTTTAAGGTGTTACCATGGTCTATGAAGGTTCTGCTATGATGTATGAAGGTTTAACCTTGGTCTGTAAAGGTGTTGCCGTCATGGACTATAATGGTGTTGCCTATAAAGGTCTTCCCATGGTCCATGAAGACCTTGCTATAATCTATGGTCTATGGTCTATAATCTATGGTGCCATGGTCTATCACTTTGAAGGTGTTGCCATAGTCTTATGAAGATGATGTCATGGTCTATAAAAGGAAGGTGTTGCCATTGTCTGTAAAGGTCTTGCCATGGTCCATGAAGATCTTGTCATAGTCTATGAAGTTGTTGCTGTGGTATATGAAGGTCTTGTCATGGTCTATAAAGGTCTTGCCATGGTCTATAAAGAAAGGTCTTGCCATGGTCTATCACTATGAAGGTGTTGCCATAGTCTATGAAGGTGTTGCCATGGTCTATGTAGGTATTGAAAATAGGCATGTATTATATGAAAATATACATGCTTCATGAAATGCATTTACATTTTTGACAAATATAAGCACACAGTTTTGGTCCTTAGGTTCTGATTTTTCCTTTTGTTCCTAAAAATTGTTTTRTAATTTTTGAATAGTACCTTCCACCATATGTCCGAAAAATGCCTCAGTATCCAGGAATGAATCAGAAGATTACATACCTTGTGTCACGTTATGATGGATGCATAATAGATCCCAATGGATACAATGGAGAGATAACAGTAAGAAGTGTAAAAAAAWTTTTGTTTGAAACCATTACCACCTTTTTTATTGCTACATGCTCATTGAGACAACAGTTGTGACATGGAAATCAAGCAATTGACTACTGTCAATCAAATAAGTGTATTGCCAGATGTATATGTTATGACTTCTTTAGGGCTAAAGCTCTGTTGGCAAACTTCCTGTTTCGTTCACATACATTCCCTTATAAGAGCCTTTTGCTGAATAACCGCATATTGGTTTGATTAAAAGGTGCTTTCCAAGCGTCAGTAAGCATGTACTACAGAAGAATTATGCAAAAATGGCATTGTCATGCCGACAAACATTAACATTCATGTCTCAATTTAACATTCAAATTGATGTCTAGTGATGGTTTAAATCAAGAGTAAATGGGAGCAACAAGGAGCCTTCTTGAGCCACACTTCTTAAAATCACAAAGGATAAACCAAGCAAATGAAATAAATATAAAGTACAAAAATAAAAATTCCGTATTTTTAGAATTCAGCTATTTAAATGCTAAGAAAAGATTCAAGATTTTTTTCGAGTTATACAGGTGCCTATTAGCCTGCATGCAGACCAACTTTAACTGTGGTTATTATAAGAAGACGGACTTAACCACAGTTATGTTCAGATGCTGGGTAGGCTAGGGGTGCCTTTAGAAATGCAGTTGAATATGTTGATGTTCATGGGCAGGATTATGACTTGTTTTTCTGAGCTTTGCCACACTATGTTGAATTCTGTAATAATTTAGAAGTGTTCTTTTTTACTGACAGACACCTGGAGGTGTAGTCTTGCCTAATCCACTTGCCATTGGCCATATGATGAACCACCCACCTTCAGGTAGTTGTTGCTTCTTGTCACTCCAGTTAAACTTAAGTTCTTCTTTGCTCAGTGTTAGCATTTAGAGAAGATTAGTTCATAGATTTGAAAAAGCCAAAGTCTGGGCTAGAAATGAAGAAGGTGTGCATGTGTTGTGTACATAAAGTAGACAGGGTTGGCCTGGCATTGTATCACTGAATACAAATTAGAAAAGCCGTAGGCCTTTTTTGTTAGCCCTACACAGATATCTATAGGGTCTGGTTTATAGTGGTTTGGTTTTGTATTATGAAGTACAAATTAGAAAAGAGMATAGGTGTTTTTTCGCTAAGGGATGTCTCAGGGGATCCCCAGGGGACTGGAAGATGGGAGACTAACGCAACAAAATGTTTTTCATTGCAGAAAAGAAGCCCAATGTAATGCCATTCTCATATGACTTTCTTGATCTACCAAGAGAACTTCTTTATCTTGTACCAAATAAGTAAGTTACATCATCCTATGATATAAAACAATTATGGAAATTAACCAGCTGTTACATTTTTTTACTGCTCATTATGCATGCCTAGCAAAATAACTTCTGTCTGTGCGCAGTAATCACACTATACACATCTAAAGCATTATTGTATAAACCATTGTAAAGTGCATAGTCATTATACATGGATTATTGGCAGTTTTTGTTGACAGAACCAATCATTTAGGTAAGGTTATACTGCCTATCCAATCAGGATGCTTGGAGGTAACAACAACCTATAGAATCTTTCTTGTAGAATCTTCCATTTATTAATGGGCAGGAATGTTAATCTAGTCTTGAAAAAAGGAAGTCCAAAAGTATAACAGTCACATGRTTGTCCTGCAAATGGCCTATTGAAAGTGTTTTTTTTTTAATCTTGCAAATCTGCTCTGCCTGTGTTAACTTCAAAATATTATTTTCAGGTATTACAAAGAACCAGGATTTGTTTATAAAACCCCAGCATTAATGAGAAGTCTAGTTTATGTCACAACAAACCATGTTTGTAATGAAGAACTCTTTGTCAAGTAAGTAACTAAGTCTTATCTACTTCTGTTTACACTAATGGTAAATCGATACTRCCACCTACTAATATTTTTATTCAGTTCCTTTTATATTTAACTMAACTGTCAAACCTCAACTATTCATYAATATTGCAATAATTATGTGCTTATACAATTTAATACCAATAGAAGTCAACACTGGACAACACTCAGAATGAGTATAACTCATTTTTTGAGTGAAGCAAAAACATAACTTATTTAGTTTTGAGGGCAGCATGCAGTCCTACTGGCAAATAATAGAAATAAAAAAGGATTTTAGGAATATTAGGTTTTACTCCTTGACATATTTCTCTACATAAAGTGTATATGGTATATCCGATAACTTTTGAATTGCTWTTTTTGGGGCAGTCATAAGTCATTGGAGTTATTAAGACGTTAAGGCTTGTTTTGTTCGTCCAAGATGGTGGATGGTGGCCATATCAAAAGAGATGCTCTTCATTGACAGAGTCACCCTCCTCCCTTAAAAGAAGGGAGAGAAAGAGGAGAGAATCTGCTTGCAGGGAATCTATTAATTCACCTAATGGCTGTTCACAAACATTCCTCATCTATATATAGGCATAATACATGTTTTTGGTTTTAGTTACAGGCTAAATCCCAATAGTGAACTCCCCGAGTGGTATAAACCTGTTAACAAAGAAGAAGACTCCAGAAGATGGAATTCCTGATATAAATTTCAAACACCAAAAGAAAACTTGARTTTGATAAGCTAATAAAGGAGACTAGAATTTCCAATGGGTAGGAAGGGTTCTACAATAAAGTCTTGCCCAGAGGTTCAAGTCACCTAGTTGGTGTGCTATGCACAAATAAAGGAATTAAATGAGGAAGAATTTTTAGGTGAGGGAGATGTTGTATGCTTTCTATACTTCATTYATGAGGGTATCATAAAAAAAGCCATGTATGAATCCTTTCTAGATTACAAGAAATACAGTTAGAGTGCAAACAATAAAACCGTGAAACTTTAGTAATACTAAATAGCACAATTTCAGGCAAATTTCATTGTTTCCTATTGTTTAATTAGCACTATGTTGTACTATTTAGTAATTAGTGTTTCATGGATTAATTGTTTGCACTCTACTTCCTTGAACTTCATWATAAAAATCCTATTTATGAAAATTAAAACAATGAGTCTTTCTTAGGGAATTATTTATTGTTTTTAACTTTTGCTTTAAAATAACAATGAGAGCTACATATTCTAAATGCAGTCTTGGGAGGCATACTACATTTCCTTTGACTGTAATTYTACCTCTCAAACCATTCAGTTAAGGTTGCTATGGAGTTTCAAAAGATTATTACCTTGCAGCCTGAACTGAACGGAAAGTAATGAATCTTTACAACTCTGACAGTGATAACAATTTACTTATGACATGAAATACATAGCAACAGTTTAATAGAGTGAGCAAGTCTCCACGGTTTGAGCATATATACTGTAATAATAAAATAACAGGCTAGAAAGTCTAACATGTGTGGTATATCAAGCTGATCTGAAATAGTGACATAGAAATGACATCACTGTTTTCACTGTAACCTAGTGAAAGTTAAAAAAATTCTGCCATCAACCATGTTACCAATTTATTTTTTAACTTGGTTACCTGGAAATTCCTGTATTAAAAGAGGAAAAGTGACACCTCAGTTTTGGAAATTTTCTTGATTCTGATTGGCTAATGTTTTTTCTCAGATCAGCTGGATAAGTTCATGATTCTTCAACAAAAATACAGAGACATGTGCTTATATACATCAAGGCCACCTCAGCCGAGTTCCACACCTGGAACTAGGATAATTGCATTGTAAAGTTATGCTTTACAGTCAAAAAGTTTTTATTAGAATATTAATTCTGGGCAATTTTATGAATGAGTTTAAAATAATAAATGACTGTTCATTTCCCATGAGTTGCATTAATGAACGATGAAAAGCTGTATTTAAAGTAATGCTACTTGTTCGGCAAAACTTGTTATTTCCTTCTGTAGCATGGCTTTTTTCTGTGCATCAGTTGCATTGGGGTTCTTATTGCAATATTCACTGACCCTCAAAATAGTTTGATACTGTAAAAGAAAATTATGACAATCAGTAGATGAGCTAGGCAATTGTCATGAATGCTAAAAAATACATGCTTTCCATAGAAAAATGATAGACATTTTGAAATCAAAAATGATTTTCTCTAAAATGTATCATTATTTTAAAATAACAGGATAAAGGAAAAGGAGGAATAAAGCCTCAGATTTAAACAAAGAAATACCAAACTCAATATTCAGGCAAAGTATTTTGAACATCTAAATTTACAATTTCTTACTCTAAGTACGTCTGCTTTASTGACTGATACTCTCTTGTATAACTCGTATCCAACGCGCCCAGCTACGTATGCATKGTACAAACGTTTTCCCTGCTCTCCGCCATCCAAGAATCCAAGAACTGCGACCTGTTTGAAGAAAAGGAAAAAACCCTGCCTCGTAAACAAAATAAACTTACTAAAGCATCCCATTACTTTTGTTCCAATATTCCACCAAGCTGGTTGAGTATTGGCAAACACTTCGACTGAAAGCGAATTTTCAATATCTCGAAATTCGTTTTAGGGAATTTTGTTCCATTGTAAAGAATACAGATGTTAGCTCACCTGCTCTAAAAGCTCAATGTTATTTAGTCGAAGACCGTTCGCCATGTTTTCTTCCTCACCCCTGTTAGCCTGCAATGCAGCTTGGGAAATTTAAGATTTAGACACAGGGAGACCATTTTATGTAAAAGCGATGGAATGTAAGGAAAATGTGAAAAAATTGCCGTCGAATTTGAAAGCAAATATTTCCAAAGGGAAAAATGATGTAAATTTGGTCTCTTAAAAAACTAAATCAAGCATATCATAACACGGGGCCACGGTCTCTGGCAAAAGAAATGTATTCCCCTCCCTTCTCTCTCTTTAATGAGTGTATTCCCCTCCCCTCTCTCTCTTTAATGAGTGTACTCCCTCCCCTCTCTCTCCTGGTTCAGGATCCGGCTAAGATTCTGCTTGGAAATACGGTCTATAAATCGCGCATGTCAATCTAAGCTTTTAGGAGTGATGGTTGATGAAAAATTGAGGTGGGAAGGTCATATCACTGAAGTCATTATTCCTAAGGTTCTGAAAGCGTTGGGTATATGCTTCGTGCATGCTGCACGCGAGTATCTCCGGCAGAAAATGTAAGTGAATTTGTACAATGCACTGATTCAGCCTCAACTTAACTATCGTTGATTATGGCCGAGATGTCATTCCACTAGCCTGCGTTCAGCCGGTATAATTTCTCTCGGAATAGACCCCTCGCATTAAATTCCTAGAGGAATAGTTATTTGGGACAAAACAATATCCAAAATCCATTGTTTTGTCTCCCAGAATATTTCCTTTAGTGCAAGGAGTCTATAGCCGTCGGTTATTTAGAGAGAAATTATGAAGGCTGAACGGAGGCTACATTCCACCATGGACCACATAGTAAACAACATGAATAATAGTTCATGGAKCGGAATGSTTCGGAAACCTATTGTTCTAGGTTTTTGTTCGACTTTATCATTCCATTCAGTTATATGACGTCGACCGTGCACAGAAAAGTTGCTCCATTTGTTCACATAGTATTACGGAATATAGAAGTTTTTTCCCCCAAAAAAATCGTTATTATTTGTTGATTAATCCTATGTGATTAATATTAATTGTTTATTTGTTACTTTCTTATTTATCATCTATTAACTGTATCTGCGCGGAAATAATTATTCCCATGGTTTTTGGCTTTCACTTTCAAAATGTTCATACATCAAAATGATGAAGAAATAAGTATTTTCAGCGATACTTGCTTTGGTTCATTGTGCACGGTCAGTATCACTTGATGGTACAGTTCAACCTCAAACTCAAAACATAGCTTTGTTCTATGAAGTTCCCAAACCATTCCACTCCATGACTATGCACAAATGTCTGGAGTGCTTACCRGAACTTTCTTGAAGCCACTGATATTATAATTAAAAGCAGAAGGATGTGATTATTATAGAAGGAGGTGATTATTAGGAGAGAAAAGATTTCACTCCAATTGCACTAAAAAAATGGAAAGTTATATAAACTAGAAAGCTCAAAGCCTAATTGATTAGAAAGGCCATAGGAAACAACCCTTACACGAGGTGTTAATCACGCGTGATGTGACGTGCCTGTTACGGTCGAGAGCGTTACATTAGATGAGCATGCTCACTGCAAAAGGGCGTTGTGTTGTACTCGATACCGAGTCGACCAAGTTGCGGAGTGTGTKTCTGTAGCTACTGTGTTCCTTGTAGAAGCTGTTTTTCCTTTTCTTGTTTCATCTCAGGTAAAATCTAAAGTTTTGTGATAGATCTTCAAGAGTAATCGATCTTTGCAAAACGTGTTGTTGTTCGAAGAGCAAGTCATTTTGACTGTACGTGATCTTGGCTTGCTCCCTTGACATGAYAATGGTGGCGTGTTGATCTTTTCTCTAAGGCGAGCTCATACATTCCTCTTAGTTTGCAGAAKTTAGTGCTTCATCATGAATATGGACGAAGTAAGACGCCACGTTCGAAGTACAGGGCGTCCTTACGAGGATCCTGAATTCCCCTGCATCGATAAGAGCCTGTTCTTCTCCAGAAGACCTCCACGTCCATTCGAATGGAAGCGYCCTTCGGTGAGTAACATGATAAGTACATAGACGAGCAAAGACACTGCTAGACACGGATATAAATAATTTCAATTACTGGACGAATTTTGTAGTTACAATATTGTACATCTGAAATAAAATTAAATCTTTAGCTAAATTTATCGCATGCATAAATAGACTCGTCTTTTATTATAAAGAAGCCATGTTATGGTAATTTAGGAATAGATAAGTGGACTATGTATTCTAACACGTATACATAAAATGATTTTAAGCAACTTAAGTCCAGATTTTTCTTAAACACCTTTCGTTACTTGCGTTCTTAGGTGTTTTAAGTTGTTAGTTTTTGACATCTTGTAAACTCCTTGAATACAGGATATTGTTTTAGCACCGTTATAATGGTATTAAACGTTATCGCATTCAACTAGAATTCATAAGAAAGCTAAGTTTGGGTTAACATTAGCATGGTTTGAGGGAATTATTATATACTTGTATATGCCTTGAAACATTATACGGATTGCACTGTTATTTCTTCCCAAAAAGAAAGCATAGACTTTTCTCGAAAGCTGTTAATCATAAATCGATTGTTCAAATATAAAAGTGTCGAGAATAATTAACATTCCAAAAAGATACGACTATAATATATGCCGAACATGACATTCTGTTTGCTTATATTTATAGAATTTATCTTTATGTCTCATGAACCACTCTTATGTGTACGAGATCGTGTATCATTCTCGCCCCATAGTGGGGGTCACAATGTTGCTAGCGCTGTTCCAAGCATCTAGTATAGTCTAGTAGGACACAWTTTTTGTTTTGACGGACCTGACTTCTGATAGTCATTCACACCGAGTTATTTCTTACTAGTTGAGTAAATTCCGTCTAGAACTAAAGTTCCACAAGATGTCTTGATTTGTACGACCCTCTCGACCAAACCATCTCGAATATTCTTGAGGAGTGGCCGTATTTTTTGCATTGTTCAAATATATCATTATAGTATCTCATTAGCATATRAGAGTCTAGAAAACCAACCTGAGGGCTTTTAACATCCACCCTTACTTATCAATATTGTATTACTCGTGGGACATTCAGGAGACAAGAAAAAATCAATGCTTAAAAAAATATTATGTGCGTACTTAAAAAAAATATTAGATCTTTTACRAGAAAGACCATTGAAGCATGCCAAGATTTATTGTTTGGCTTTTGTAGTAAAATACMATAGAATGATTTTGAAAGATTTTGTTGATTGGCATGCACTCCCTGCTGACAACTAAAATAAGATTATTGTTATTATAACTCCTTACAGTATATATTCTTTAAGTTATGACTCTGAGCTAGGTCCTCGTTAATTTGCCATCACTCAAGGAAGTGATAGTTTATCCATTTTTTATTTAAGAATTTATTCAGTACGTATTTAACAAGAAATATTGCTCAATTAACTGTGTCTAAAAACCATATGTAATAAAACAAATAAACATTTGATAAGTCTTAATTGAATCTTGCCAATAAAATATCAATATTGATGGCATTCATGTTTCTCATGTTCCCAATAAGTTTTCAATTTGCAGTTTCAAATACATCTAAATTACRTACAGTGAGAACATGTACTAACACTTGAACCATGAAAACTTCAGGTTTTTTCAGATTATTAACTATGTACTTTTTCAAACCTTTCAAAATGACTGAGCATTGAGTTCAAATACGCTGAGTGATAAAAATAGATCTTTTTTTCAGCTCCCCAGCACCTCATAATATTATTTTTTCTCACTATCTATATTTTACCTTCTTTATTAGTTGAAACTTATAAATTTGTCATCTATTTTGTATTGTAAGGTATATTAAGAGTGCAAATAAAGATTACTATTATTATTATTCTAATAGATTGGTTCACGGGTGCTTTACAGTATGCATTAACRAAGTGACAAAAAACCATGTTCACGGTTGAGGTGTCCTTGCTGTAATATGCAAATTAATTTTGCATTATTGTTCTTATTATCTATCTTAAAGGAAGAAGATAGATATAGGTAGACAACAAGACTAACAATGAATTACGGTMAAATTTTAAATGAAATAACAATCTCCTAGMGTTTATTACTGGTCGGTAAGGTAAYGGTAAGGTAACGGCAAGATAAGGGTAAATGGTTGGCAAACGGAGTTACCGACCACTTACCRTACGGTGCAGATTGTTCACCATTACCATTTTGTTATTCTTTTCAGCTTGGTGTTACAYGTTTTGTAGGATTTATATGAAATTTATCTAATTTTTAGGAATTAAGCAGTGACCCCCAAATGTTTGTTGGTGGAGCAAGTAGGTTAGACATTCAACAAGGAATGCTGGGAGATTGTTGGCTTCTTGCCGCTATTTCTGCTCTTACTTGTGAGGATGAGCTCATGAAAAGAGTTGTGCCCCAGGATTATGTTGCCAACATGAATGACCGAAATTACATTGGTGCACTCAAGTTCAATATTTGGCAGTATGGAGTGTGGTATGAAGTGATCATTGATGACCGTCTTCCTACTTACAATGGAAAACTGGTATTTGTACACTCTAGTGAAAAGAATGAGTTTTGGAGTGCACTGCTGGAAAAAGCTTATGCTAAGTAAGTATGAAGTGAGCATTGTCAATGTGTTGATAATTTTTGGGGATTATAAATTTGATCAAGTTTGAATAAATTTTGGAGTGCACTGCTGGCAAAAGCTTATGCTATTTGTAAGTATGAAGTGAGCATTATTGCCAATGTATTGATAATTTTTTGGGATTAAATTTGATCAATTAATTATTATATTCAGGTTGAATGGAAGCTATGAAGCATTGAAAGGAGGCCAGACTGGAGAGGCTTTGGAAGATTTCACTGGTGGTCTTTCAGAGTCATTTGATCTTARGAAACCTCCCTCAAATCTTTTTGAAATCATGGAAAAAGCCATGAAGCGCTCAGCATTGATGGGTTGCTCTATTGCTGTGAGTATGAAAATTGCATACAGAACTTGTATTAGCTAGGAAACTGGAAGCAGATYATTATAGATTAGCTGAGCCATGTTGATTCTGATGTTATTTGCATCCAGGTGTGAACATTCATTGAACAATAATAATCTACACATACATTTCATTTAGTCTGTAAAATCRTTAGATATCACACCAACTTAATAGTGGAAACTTTATTTCACATTTTTTCATTTACAATAATTGRAAATCTCACTACAAAAAAGTAATTTATGCAAAAAACAAAAGAAAAAAATGGGGGTTTTAAAACTTCAGGAAATTAGGATCGATCCAGTCCTTATTTTTTTACAAACAACATTATCGTGAGATTAGACTTGAAGCCAACTGTTAGTTGTAATTAATTAGGCCCTTTATTCTGAAAAGCCTTAAAGAGGACAAATAAAGTATGTATGTATGTATGTACGTACGTACGTAGTTCCAATATGTATAGACATTTATTAAAGATGGCCAAGAGTAAATCAGGTCACAGACTTTCACCAATAATAATGATAATGATAATATTATTATTATTGTTATTATTAACATCTCAACATGTTCTGTCTGCTCAAAATGSTTTTAATGAATTATAATTTTATAAAATGAATATATTTTGTCTGCCAAAGCTAGGAAATGTTTATGACATTTTTAAACTGTTGAATTGACAGGCAAAATCAAATGAAATTGAAGCAAAACTCAACAATGGTTTGGTAAAGGGTCATGCTTACACAGTGACTGGAGTCAGAAGGGTAGGTCTAATCAATTAACCTTTAATTGTTAGCTCAATACAAATTTATCAGATTTTTGCTGTGATTTTATCCATAATAAAAAAAAAATTATAATGGTAAAGAATTTACTTGTAAAGTTTTTTTCAGGATACCAAGATTTTCCTAGATGAATATGTCTCTTTTGAAGGATAAGGAGACAAAAGATTTCATTTTTCCGAAAATTGCCACAAAAATCGCAGCAAAAATTGCCGCAAAAATCGSCAGTGTAAATGGGGCTTTACGTTTGTACAGATTATTTTTCATAATTTGTTTCGTTTTCTGGTCTTGTAGTCTCATTGACTTTTAATTTGTCCAGCTAGGAAAAGTTTACTGCTAGTGTTCTGTTTCAGATAATTAAGCTTCTATTTAATTTGTTTGTTTGATAGGTGAAAGCCAGAACTAGGAGTGGTCAGATTGATGTGGAACTAGTCCGTATCAGGAATCCCTGGGGTAATGAAAGGGAATGGAAAGGAGCRTGGGGAGACCAGTAAGTATCAATATCTCTCACCAAATCATATGTTGATGATATGCACAACATTTTGCAATTCAATCTTTTTTTATKAAGTTGTGTTGAAAAGGTACTACATTTGTAAAGCCTAAATCTAATTTCTAACTATCTATATCAAAAATCTATATATTTTATTATGATATTTATTACCTTATTTATGGTTATGAGGTTAAAATTTATTTAATTTATTAAGACTTATAAATTTAGTAATTTAAATCCCATTTGATAATATTGCATTTATGCACTATATAAATAAAGTTTTTATCATCGTCATCATCATCATCAGTCTATGGAACACTCTACCTAGCTGGCATGTCAAATTTTCTATTGCTTGCTTGTTGGATTTTAGCCTAGCTATTTTATTGAGAAAATTCATGCATTCCGTTTTAATGCGTATACAACTCTAATATGAGTGACTGTCTTATATCTTCTAAATTTAATAAATGCCAATCATTTTTCTTTTTTATTGTGTACACCAAAATAGTCAACTCTTGTCTTGCGGACACCCCGATATTACAGACACCTTGCTATTACAGACAGGAGAAAAATCCCYAACAAAATTACTGACAAAGAAATGACCRTAAATAATTTTCAGTATTGCAGACATTYGCTATTACGGACATGAAGTGAAGGTCCCAAGGTTGTTCACTGTAATGAGAGTTGACTGTAGTGAACATTATCTACTGACAATTTTTGTGATTCAAATAATTTAACTGTGGGCATAATTTGTATAATTCTAGGTCTTCTGAATGGAGTCTATTGACAGATAGTGAGAAGAGGCAGATGGGTTTGACCTTTGATGATGATGGAGAGTTTTGGTGAGAAGCATGCAGATCAGTATTACTTGGATTAACTAATACTTGTCATTGAATACACCGAATTGAAATATATCGATCAATTTGAATAACTATATTGTTCTGTCCTGACTAGTGACTGACTAGCCTTATGTTTACATGGAAACATAAAAGGGTTTTCACATGTATGAGGGCTGCTAGTCAGTCGCTAGAATATAGTCAGTACATAACAATAGTTATTCAAATTGGTATAACATGCAGGGTTTGATTGATTGCCCTGTTTTGTCAAGCCATGGTCTGTAAGATTTAATATATTAAAGGGTATAACTTGATAAACTTAAGAATAGCTCAGTATTGGATGGTGGAATCTTATGATGCGTGTATTTTTCCTTGGTATAGGATGTCATTTAATGATTTTATCAGTAACTACACAACCCTTGAAATCTGCATGTTGGGCGCTGATAGTGCAGTAGAACAAAGCAAAGTTGCTTTTGAATCTCGTTCAGAGCATGGAGCTTGGAATTCTCGTATTTCAGCTGGAGGATGCCGTAACTACATTGATACCTTTCACAAAAATCCACAGTACCGGTAAGTAATTTAATTAACAGATCAAAAACAGTTTTCTRTGTTTGATACTCTGATCAAAACACGCGGGATGTTGAGAGAACACGAGAGGAGCGTAGGAAACCAGGTTTCCAGCTTCTTKAGTGTTCTCCCAACATCCCAAGTGTTTTGATCAGAGTATCAAACATAGAAACTGTTTTTGATTTATTTTATAAAATAACAAACGCGCGAAAAGATCGAAAAAAGCAAAGTCTAAGTAAATTCTCCCTACTTGCAGTCTTATTCAAACTGACCAATGAGCACGTGAGATAGATTAAAAATGACAACAGCGTGTTTTGATACTCTCATCAAACATGGTTTTCGACCAATCATAGCGCGCGTAGTATCCCAATTATTTTATAATGTTGTATTAAGAACGGTAATTTAATGTATTTATATGGCATTGTCTCACTCACCAAAGCTTTTGCACCAGTGGGAAACAATGTGACAGGTTAATATAGAAAAGTGATAAAGTATATATTATAAACACCACACCATAAGGCAATGATGATAGATTAACTGATATTTTGGACCTTTAACTCCCAACGAGAGTACTCTATCCCACCTAACTTGTACCTAGCATGATTGCATTAATCCCAAAACAATAGGAAGCCTTTTGAATGTCACGGCATATTTTATTGTATTGTATCTTTTCCATACAAGAAAACAGCTCCATATATGCATGTATAGGTATAGATTTATTACTGGTGCAGTAATTACATTAGTATCAATCTTTTTTCTCTTTGTTACAATTAAGGATCAAGTTAGAAGACAGCGATGATGATGCAGATGACCTTTGTACCTTCATTGTGGCTCTTATGCAGAAGGACCGTCGTAGGGAAAAAAACAAAGGAATGCAAATGTTGACAATGGGATTTTCAATCTACAAGGTATT